GCAGCGGTTCTGTGGCTGTGGAGGACTTGGCCATGGTTAGCTTCCAAGCCAGTCTTGTCTCCCAGCGTCACAGAATGGGGCTTGTCTTTAGAGCAGGACCTTGCTCCCCATCAGTTTAGCACAACTGTCCTTGTCCGTCGTGGGCAGCTGGTCTGTCCTGTATGCTCAACACAGCCTGCGCTCTCAGGCCTCGAAGCATAGCCCTTCCTCTGTGGTGGAGGCCAGGCTAGGCACCCTCCACCTCCCTCAGTTGCTGAGTGTATTTCAAATGCATGGCTACACCCTTCAGGAAGACAGAATTTAGGGACGAAACCGGTCTTAGATTTGTGGTTCATGCATATGCATGTGAACCCTGAAAAGGGCAGTGGCCAGCTCAGGAACCCCAGGTGTGAGTTCTGAACGCCAAGGAAGGAATCTGACCTACTGTAGAAAATGTCATGCCTTGAAAGGCATGGATCTTTGTACCCACCTTGCAGGATTGCTCCTCTGAGAGCACCCTCCACCCCACCCCTGCCCCAGCCTTGCTGGGCTCACTCTCCAACCTGCCCTCCAGAGTTTCCCGCTGGCAAGGAGTCAGGGCCTCGGTTCCTTGCTCTAGAAAGACCCTAACTGGGCAGCCAGTGGAGCAAGGATGGCATGCCTGGAATGCCTTGACTGCAGGCTGGGCGGGTGCTAGGAGCCCAGAGCAGGGAAGCGTCACAGTCAGCAGACAGGCTTGCCGACTGGGTTCCACAAAGCTTAGGGCAAACACCCACCTGGACCCATCCGATTGGGCGACTGGTCAGAGAAGACGAGGTCACAGTAGAAGCTGCAGGTCCTGGGTGCCAGGCTGAGAAGGGCACTCAGGCTGCCGAGTCCAAGAGACATAGGTGTGAGGCCAGCATGGTTGAAGACATCTAATTAGCAGTTGAGAGTTGGGCCATCTTTGACTACATAGCAAGCCTGAGGCCAGCCTGGGCTATGTCCCTGGAGGAAGAGAGAAAGGAAGGGTTCAGATCTAAATCCTGGCCCTATCTTTTCTGAGCCTCAGTTTCCCCATCTGCGAGTGATGCGAGATGTGTAAGCTTAGCTCTCTTTCTGGTAGGGGTTTAAGGTCTACAATCCTGAGTCTGAATTGCCAGTGGGAGCTGTGGATGGGCCACCGCTGAAGGACGACCGTGGGAAGCGCTTGGCCCAGGGAAGCAGCCTTCAGGGCAGGGTGGAGCAGAAACCCCTTCTGTGCGGATTCCTGTGGCCTGTCTTGTCATGCTAGTCCCAGGGGGCCATTTCCTCCTTCCTCCCACATAAATATTATATGCAAGTGTTTTTAAGTCATTTCATCATGAAAAGAAACGATTTAACATAACTATTACCCAGGATTCTTCATGAAATATGCATCAAGCAATTAGGTCTAAAAGCGAGAGGTGAGGCCTCGCACCCTGGCTCAGCGGCGGGCAGCTGTGGGCTGAGTGATGTTTTATTAAAGCTCATGATGAGGAGGCGAGGTGGGGCCTGTTATTAGGCCAGCACACACCAGGCATGCTTGCTAATCCTGGCGACAGTGACAAGGAGGTGCTTTTTGTGATGGTAATGAGTGATCTAAGTGCCCTGACAGCCCCAGCATCCCACCACCCTGGGCCTTACAAGACTCATTAGACAGGTCACCCACCAGAAACACCCCTAATTGTGACTTCGCTCTCACAAGATGTCCTATCAAAGGAGACAGAGCCAACAAAGAAACAGTGGGCAGGAGCCTGGCAGAGCTCCCTGGGCAAGGTTCTGTCCCAGAACCACCATGCCTTGAAGAGGAGGGTAGAAGCAGGCTTTGCCTAGAGCCCACTCACCTGGCCCTGAACGGAAGCACAGAGCTCTGGTGGCATCTGAAGCCCCTTGCCGGGTGCCTCTCTGGCCTGTTTGCTCCAGGGTATCAAAGGGTGAGTGCACAGTGACTACAGGCTATTTCTCACTAACCATCTCGTCATGAGCAGCCACAGCCTCCCTGTGCACACCCGTGATCTGATGCACCCTCTGGTCCCCACAGGGGTTTGATTTCTGTTGCTGTGATAATACCCTGCCCAGGCTGGGTATGTTCGTACACACCTTTGATCCCACTGCTAGGAAGACAAAGACGGGCAGATCTCTGAGTTCGAGGCCATCCTTACCTTCATAGCAAGCTCAAAGCCAGCCAGGGCTACACAGTAAGAACCTGCTGCAGAAGAGAAGAAAAGAAACCCAGACAAAAGCGACTCGGGAAGGAGGGTTTATTTGACTAATAATTCCGGATTCCAGTTCATCATTGAGGGAATCTCCAGGCAGGAACTTAAGACAGCTGATCATACCACATCCACAGTCAAGAGCAGAGAACCAGTAAACAATCCAGACACACACGCACCTGACCTGCCTACAGGCCAACCTGATCCAGACAATTCTCCCAATGAAATGTCCCTGGTGATTCCAGGTTATGTCAAGGAGACAGTAAAAACAAACCGGGACACCTGCTGCCTATTTGTGTAGTGTTACAAGTTACGGTAAAACCACCCCTCGTTGGCACCCTTAAATCTCTTATGACCAGCCAGGCTGTGATACCACCCTGTACTTGTGTGTGTGTGGGGGGGGGGGGGGGGGGGGGGGGGGGGGGGGGGGGGGGGGTGGGTGCGCGCCCACACACAAGGTGTCACATGACCTTGAAGTGACTGAAGAGCCAAGAACCTCTTGGGGTCAGGTCACCATCTTGTCTTCATGGCCAGGAGCTTCACTGGTTGGGACAGGCCGTTCCCAGTTCCTGGGGCAGTTTTTTTTTTTTTTTTATGTGTGGTCTTCCACCCCGCCCCTCTGGTCTCTGACCTGCCATTGCCTGGACGCTCTGTGTGGAGAGGGCATCACTTAGGCCCTCCTGCCGCTCCTGCTACCGTGCCTGGCTTCATGTGGAGCACTAAAGGTCTGGAGAGGATTCTGGGAGAGGCCCCCCGAGAGAAGTGGGCCTCGCTACTGATTGCTGTGGTGACTTCCAGTCCCCTGTGTGCGCAGGAAGAGCAGGGGGCAGTCCCCTGTCCACTGCCTGGGAATGGAGGCGTGCCTTCCTCCACCTGTAACTGCTAGAAAGCCGTTACCGCCCTGGCTGCCTCCTGGACAGCACCAGAATCCAGTGTGGAAGTCTCATGTTAACCCTCAACCTTAGGAGCTCCTTGCCCTGCCCTGACCCCTGGGAGTGTGGGGAGCTGTGATGTCAGCCTCTAAGAGCTGCTGCTGCCCTCTGTCTTACAGGTCCTCTGCCCTGCTCCCTCGGGTGTGAGTGTGGAAGGTCACAGAGCTAGGTTGCTTGTGCACTCGGCACCCCTCACCAGCACCCCCAGAGGAGAGTGATGACTCATCGTCACACATCCTTGCTTACCAGCCAGGCTTCTTGGACATCTTCCGGGTGTCACTGCCGCTCCAGGTCCTTTCCAGGCTGGCTGGTATTTGCGGGCTCCACGTCATGCCGGGGCACAAGTCCTTGGGCACCCTGGGCTTTGTTTTCTGTGTGACATCTGGCTTTTCCAGGTGTCTGAGCCAGCGCTCCACACAGCACCTCCTCCAGCAGGAGATGATTCTCGGGTGTGGTGACCCTTCGCTTCAGAGCAGAGCTTGCCACAGGCTCTGTAATTAGAACATCACAGCCTTAAAACTCTTGATTTAAATTTCAGTTCTTCACCAGAATTAGTCTCTCTCGAAATGTAATTGCTCTCTGAACGATTTCCTTTAAGCCCAGGGTGACATCTCTAAATACATTATTATGCGCAGATGTATCGCTTGGTGCCTGCCCGTCATTAAGTATTTCTTCTACCCATTTGGAGAAAATAGCAGGTTTTGGGGGGCCCACTCTACCCAGAGGACAGATCAGGTTTCAGACCCCCATTGGAATATAGAAACCAGAAAGGGAACTGGGGCTCAGGAAGGCCACAGCCCCCAGAGTCCACATGGGGCGCTTGGCTTCCCTAGGTGGCCCTGGCTGCTGGGTCCCTAGGGCTGTTCACAAGTTGCCAGGCCCTGAGATAGTGGCACACGCCCAATCAGAAACCTCGGGTTTCTAACACGTGACAGACACTGGGTGTAAATTGCACAGTGCCACAGGAATGGGCGCAGGCCAGGTTTGGGTGAATGAGCAGGAAGTGGCAGCCTGCACACAGGGTGATGGAGGCCTGTGTGAGCCAGAGTGTGACTGGAGCCTGGGACCTCTAATAGGAGAGGGCTTCTGTGACACAATATGCCAACAGCTGTGACAGTGGCCTTCATCCTCCACAAGCCGTACCCACCTGGCATAATGATAGAGTGCAGGCTGGGATGGGCCAGGGCACGTGGGCTCCCAGCAGTTGAAATCTGCCATTGCTTCTCCTTCAATTTCTTCAAGATGTTCTGGACAGATCTGAAACGGGGGTGGGGTGTGGGGGGGCACTGAGACCTGGCCCTGCTCTTCCATAGGCTCTTGGGGAAACTGAGTGTTGAAGAGGGATGTGGGGGTGGGCATGTGTTGCCACAGCTTAGAAAGTCAAGTGCAGATAGAGGCCGCATTGTCTTCAGGCCATTGGTGTGAGCGAAGGAACTCTGGCTTGGGGTGCCTGGGAGACTGCTGGCAAAGAGCAGTTACCAACCCTGCTTGGTAGACAGCAAACATTCTGCCCACATTCCATTGACTGTATAGCTTGTCACGTGGCTAACTGTGCCCAAGGGAAGCTGGGAAGTGTAGTTTCTGACTGAGTCGGCCCTTCCCTGAGAACAGTTATCCTCTACCTAAGAGAAGAACAGTTTGTCTGCTCTTGGCTACCTACCCCACTGGCCAAGGCTGCCTCTCAGTTTGGGACATCTTGTATACCTACCTGCAAGGTCTAAACAGGTCCCTGCAGATGGGCTGGGTTTTTGCCCACCCCACCCCCAGTCCCCAGAACCTTCCAGATACAGTCTTGACGTAAGCAAGCAGCTCCCTGACAGTCCCCTCACCTCTCAGGCACCGTGCACACCCTCTGACATCTGTGTTTCGTTCACAGGAGCAACCAGGGCTTTATGCACATGAAACTGGCCAAGACCAAAGAGAAGTATGTTCTGGGTCAGAACAGCCCCCCTTTTGACAGTGTCCCGGAAGTCATCCACTACTACACCACCAGGAAGCTACCCATCAAAGGGGCGGAGCACTTGTCCCTCCTTTACCCAGTGGCTGTGCGGACTCTGTGAAAGGACCAGCCTCGCCCTGCTCTGTGACCAAGCCTGATACCTGGAGGAGCCGGCAGGGCACCGGCCAGCTCTCTGTGTTGCCGGCAGTGCCCAGTGTGTGTCGTGTGTATGGTACTAGCACACCACTGCATGTCTTAGAATGCTGTTGTCACTTACAGGGTTGCAGACGGCCTGGATGAAGAGGGACAGCCTGCTGCCACACCACCCCAGCCCCTGCCCCACCCCCTCCTCGAGTTTCTGTGAATTAAAATATTTGCAATCCAAAGAGATGCCTTCCAGGGTGAACAAAGACGGAGCTGCCCCAGTGGTGGGTGGGGCCCAGCAGTGGGCGGGGCCCAGCCCTGGCCCGCATCTCTTTGTTCTCCAGGTGTCCGGAACTCACCTGGGTATGGACGAGGTCTTCCCGTTGGTGCTGGGAGCCCAGGAGGCCCTGGGAGCCACCCCTCTGGTACATGTGTGCGTCTCTGGGTATGCATATGGAGTGTAAACACACAAGAGACCATGTCATAAACCAGAGGAAGCTCCATCTACTTTTAGATGTACACTCTGTAATCGTTAGATGTCAAGGAACCATTGTGCAGTCGAAGAGGATGCAATTATTTATGAATAGGGTGTGTAAATAAAATAGTCATTTAATATATATTACTAGCCCTTTTTAAATTTTTTTAAACGTGTATCTCAGAGGGTCTCTGCAAGAGAGAAATGCCGGCCTGCTGGTTTTAATTCCTAAGCAAGATGTGTTTTCTGAACTTGGCTTACTGGCATGGCAGGCCCTGTGGAGGAGAATGGAGAGCTCCAGTCAGGTCTTGGCAACTTTCTGGGCACCTGAGTGACCGCTGTAGGAACCGGACCTCAGCGGGAGGAACAGTGTGGCCAGAGGAACGGGTCAGCCTGCGAATGTGCCCCAGACCCTGCATTGAGTCTCTAGCCATGGACAGAGGCCTCCAGGTTGACCAGGCTCCCCTCCTCCCCATGGCAGCTGATGGCAGAGCTGAGTTAACCCCTCAGGTTCACCCCAGGAGTCTCCAAAGGGCGACTCCCCATTCATTATCCAGTCAGTCACACTGCCTGGAAAAGTGTCTAAGGTGGGAGAAAGACAGGCTGGGGGGTGGAGGGCCAGGTAACCTCCCAAGATCACACAGCTCATCAGCAGCCCAGCAGGCTCCACAGCTGGCACTGCTGTCCCCTCTGAGTGGCCTCGCTGTCACCTTGTTCTAGGGGAGAGTGAATTCCTGACATTGCAAGGGACATGGAACTCTCTTGGTCACCATGTGGATAAAAGCACCTCTGCATGTACATACATACACACAGGCCTGTCTCGCTGTGACAAGATGGCCACAATCGATACCAGGAAAGAGTTTATTATCTCACAGTTTAGGGGTCCAGTCCAAGGTGGCGAGAGGGAGGCCTCAGTCAGAGGGCAGGGTGCTCATGTGGTCTCCTGTATTGTTTCTATTATCTCTTATTTTCTGAGATTATCATTGTACCATTCCCCCTTCAAACCTTGCCCTGTACACCACCTTGCTCTTTTTCCAATTCCTGGCCAGGACACCTGCTCCCAGATGCGCCCAGAGGTGTGTCCCCTAGCCGATTCTAAATCCAGTCAAGTTATTGTTGAAGACGAACCACCACACCTGCCTCCGGTCTGTCCCTGGGCCGCAGGAAAGGCATGGCTGCCCTTGGCTGACAAGAAGGTTCCAGAGCCTCTTCCAAAGTCGTGTCCTGGCCACCTGGGTGGTCTGACTGGACGGGAAGGTTGATGACCGTTGTCCCCAGTACATCTCCAGTGAGACCACACACTTCAGCTGGCCAAGGCCCACAGCTACCTTGGATGGATTCAGGCCCAGTATGCCGAGGCCTGAGGCGGGTCTAGACCTGCCAAAGCTGCCTGTCAGGTTGGGGCAGAACGGAACTAAAAGCCTCTTTGGGCAGCTGCCATCGATTTCAGCAGCTCGAAGCCAAGCCGTTTCCTTGCCATCTCCTCCTCTTCCACATACGACCCCCCCCATCATCTTTCTAGTCCCTTTGTCCATCAGCGGCCCCCCCCTCGAGATTGCCGGGTGGCCTGTAGTGGGAGTCTGGCCTCCACAACGGTCATTTTCCCAAAATGTCCTTCAGGGGAGGGCCTAAAGTGACCTGTGTCCCCTCCTGGAGGACGAAGAAGAAAATGAGCGTGCAGCTGCCAGGGCCTGACTCCCCAAGAGACCCGCTCGGGGTTGGGAGATGTGGGCAGACAGGCTGGGGGTCCCAGTGGTTGCTTCCTTCACAGGGGTGAGTTCAGAGTCAGGCCTTCAGGGCATTTCCTGAAGTGCCTGAGCCACAGGGCCCTCCCTGGAGGCATGTCCCAAAACAGTCAAAGGCCCCCGTGGGTGGCGCTCCTGCCACAGTGCAGGGTTCTGTATCCTCTGCCTCTGCTCCTGTAAGGGACTCCTGGCCTCCCTTCCAACGCCGCCTTGTCTTCCTGAAGCTCCCCCCAGGCCCGGTCCCCCACTCTCCCTAGGAACTGGGGCATACAAAGGAGCCGGCCTACAGGATGGGAGATGCTAAAAGGAATTTTCCCTGTTTCACGGACCCCTCCCTCTTCCTCTGCTGTGGCCGGTTTCCTCTGTCAGCGTGCATTCGGGTTTTCTTGGACATCTAACAATTGAAAGGGCTTTTCCATTTCAGAAACCCTCACACTCGGTACCAGCGGCCTTGATTTGGTTTTTGTTTTGCCTTTTTCTTTTTTAATCTGCTGCGAATTAATGGGGGGGAGGGGAATGAGCTGGAGTTCTTTAAGGAGGAAAAGAGCTGCTGCTCCTCAGTCTCTCAGCTTTTTGTCTGAGAGCACAGCCTCCAATCACCACAGGCCCTCAGTGCTCAGAGCCACGGGACTGTTTTTCTTCCTTTCTTTCTTTTTGCTGGCTTCATTATTGGCCACAATGTCCCCGACACTTCAGCAGCTCGTCCTGGAGCATTGAGGAGTCAAGGGCCCTTTTGGCAGCCCAGGTGGGAAGGGCCCATCTGCTAGTCCTCCAGAATATTCTGGAGAGGCTCTCTGAGCAACCCTTTATAGGGAAGTTGTGAAAGTCCCGAGTCTTCAGGCCATCTGGGCGACTCTGGCTGGTGGCCTTTGGTGACCAGAGTGTGAGCAGGAAGGCCTCATGTCAAAAGCAGACACCCACCCTCAGGCTCTGCTACAGCAGTGGTCAGGGGACCAAGATTTGGAACGTGAAGATACTTAGATGTTTGGTGTCACTTGGCCAAGGGTCTGGGAAGGACAAGTGCTCTCAAGCTGGGGACAGCTCCCCAGAGACACTGGGACAAGCAGGCTGGCTTTGGGAGTTGACCCACGGATGCCCCTGCAGGGGCCCCAGGTGATTCAGTACGAACTGTCACATCCGCTCTTGGCACTTCCTAAGGCAGTATGTCCAAATCTCAAAGGCGCCTCTGAGACCCCATGGCTGCCTTCCAGCTGAGATGGCCCCGCTGAGTTCGGACTCTGGTGATCAACTACCCTGTGAGGCCCGTTTTATGTGTCATTTCAAGTACGCAAGTGCCCTGTTCCCAAACACCCTGCACCCCACAGTCCATGTTGAGTTTCTCTCAGATGCAACCATGGGTCCCAGGAATGTTGGCAGATAGCTGTGTGCCTGCCAAAGCTGAGCTGCGCCATCCCTCAAAGGGGGGGGGGGCGGTTCCAGGAGAATCAGCGCCCCTCGGCCCCTCGGGATGAGGACGTTGAGTCCCAGGTGAGCTGCTGCTTTTTTCTTTCTTTTTTTTCCGAGACAGGGTTTCTCTGTAATTAGAGCCTGACCTGGACTCTCTTTATAGACCAGGCTGGCCTGGAACTCACAGATCCGCCTGCCTCTGCCTCCCGAGTGCTGGGATTAAAGGCGTGCGTCACCACCGCCCGGCTTCTGATGAGCTTCTTAAATGGAAACAAATGAATTGGCTCAGCAGACACAGTACTTCCTGGTGGATATTGAGGTGAGTGGACCCCGCCTCTGGCCTCAGGAGGTGCCAGTGGGAACAAATGTGAAATGACTCATGACAGTACAAGTCATACCTAGCAGGCGTTCCAGGGTCAGGGACGAGTGGGGAACTGAACCTGCTTCCAGCAGTCAGGACAGGGTGGGCCTTGGAGAAGATGCAAGAGTTCACCAGGGAAATTAGCGGGGCGGGGCTGTCCCAGGTAACGGTATCAGGTTAGGGTCATCCAGAGACTTGGACAGGCGGTGTGGTGTCATAGCAATTCTCCATGTCTCCTAGGGTTTCATTGGAAGTGTGTGTGTGTGTGTGTGTGTGTGTGTGTGTGTGTGTGTGTGTGTAACAAAACATGGAGCATGAAATAGATGCAGACCAGTGGGGCCAGCTGGGGAGGGAGATGAGCGCCTTCCTTGAGGAAGCAGTGGACAGGGAAATAGAGGACCAGAGAGGCAGAGGCTTGCTCAAAGCCACACAGCAAGTGGTTGTTGCAGGATCCTTGAGTCAACAGCTTAGAGGATCTCTTCGGCCAGTGCCGTTCTAGGAAACTGGGGTGGGATTAGAGGAATCCTCCGAGCGTGTGAGCCATTTCTTCCCCTCACTGTCTCCCTCTTGAGTGGGAACACTTGAGGCCTGCCATGGCCCCGTGACCTCCCTCTGCTTTGGAGGACCAGTGCCATAGAAAGGTAACCGGGTGGAGGTTACTAGCGTGGCTCTGGTGCCCTCGTGTGGCTTGTGTTTGCATTACAGCTGAGCCTCGGAAAAGGCACCTAGCAAGACAAAAAGCAAAATGGAGGTGAGAGTGAAATCCCCTGGGAGGAAGGAAGAGGCGGCAGAGTGGAGCGGCAGGCGGTGTCCAGAGGTGGATGATAGGTGCTCTGGCAGAGGAGAGGCAGGAAGTGGCATCTGAGCTGGCTCTTACGTGATGGCATCCCAGGTAGAGGCACCGGTGAGTGGCGGAGCTGGGAGGCTGGGCCTCCCACCTCAGCCCCCCCCCCCCACACACACACTGCACCCCGGAAAGCTTTGCAGATTCACTTAGAGAGGGGGGGGGGGGCAGCCTGAGAGCAGTTCAGCTCGGAGCAGCCTCGGGCAGCACGTCTCCCAAGTTCCCAATCTTCTGATGAGAAAACTCAAGTGTTCTTACCAATAAATTTGTATCTCAGAAAAATACAAAGAAGACAAACATTGCCGTCAGCAGTTCAGTTCGTGTTCTGAAGGGCCTCCTCGGCCTTCCGCCTGCACACGTGGTTATTTTGTTTCTTGAGTCTATCTGCGCTTCAGGCTTCGTCCCCTTCCCTTCCCACTCTCCGTTAACAACTCTCCGACTGTCTGGGCTTCTTTCCCATAGGCCTGTGACACATTGTGTTAATCTGGTTAACTTATATTCAAGTTTTTGTATAACTGGCCCTGTGGGGAAATACCTTCGTTCAGAAATCACCATCGGTAATTCTGGTTGGCTTTTTTGTTTGTTGGTTTTGTTTTGTTTTTTGCTCCGGGAGAAATGTATAAAAGAAAGCCACGTGGTTACATCTGGAGACTTCTTAATGACTCAGGCTTGTCTAAAGCGTGAGACAGAGGGTTAGCAGTTCTCTTCCATCAAAGAGAATTCAGTTCCAGCGGGTGCTGAGGGTGGCAGCTGCCTGGGCTTAGGTTGTGGAGTCACCAATTGTC